TCTCTCTCTCTCCCCCCCTTCCACTCTCTCTGAAAAGCAATGGAAAAAATATCCTCAGGTGAGGATTTAATAATAATAATAATAATAATAATAAAATGGTTAATTAAAAAAAAAGTATGAGGTGGAAACATAGTTTTTCAAAATTATTTTATTAGGCATATAAGCAAAAATGTTTGGAGACCTCTGTTCTAAAAAATAAAATATAAGAATTATGAATAACGCCATCTCAACTTTATTTTGACTTTTGTTTTTCTAGTTGTATTATACATGTATCTTTATCTTAAAAATACATAGATCTACATGAATTTTAGATATAGTTCTGTTATATAAGGACTGCTGATTTTTGGTTTTAAGATAAAATGATGGAAGTGTGTGCATTTCAGTGGTAATGGATTCTTGGAATGTGGTTTAATAAATGTATTTCTCCCACTTATTTTACCTCCAAAATGAAAATAAAGTAATTCTATTGTGTAAAACAACTTTACATACGTATATATTTATATTTGAGCACTCAGAAAATAAGGATAGAAGCATTACCTAGGAAATATAGAGAAGTCCAGAATATAGAAATATTAAATTTACAAGACAGTGCTATAATAATAGAAGTAATTCTGTAATTTGAAAACCTGATTTAGCATGCATGTTATTTGGCAGGTATATAACAGCAAGCCATTTGTATACTTCATTTAAAAATCACTAGACTTTGTTCCTGGTAAATGATGTGAGGGAATAGCCTCAAAGTATTAACTGTCACAGTTCAGTATAAATAACTGAACATTTAGGGGACATACAGAAAAAGAAATGGTTATTTTAAATTGAAAGTTGCTTTTCTTTTTATATGAAATGGCCATTTATAATATGACTCTGGAAACTCAAATTATAAATGACAACTGTTGTTTTATTATTTACTTTGTATCATTGTTCAAGACTAGTTGATTTAGCCATATTAGCCTAAGTCCAAAGTAAAAAAGAATCAGATTGGTACATTCAGTCATCTTAACTACTAACTTACCTGGCTCCTAAGATAAAGTTGATAGATAGCGGTCTTGCTTCAGTGCTGGTTAAGTTGACTCTGTGTACCACATGCAGCCTTCACTAGGAAGCTTTCCATTTGGTTATAACAAAAAATACTGGACTCTGAGTACATGTTATAAAAGACAAAGTGACTCTCCAGTGTAAACTAGTTTGGGGATGACAGAAGGGTTGGTCTGAGCTGTGCATAATCACTCTATTAACAGGAATTTCTTTTTCCCCTCATGTTTATCAGCATTGGAGAAACTAATGTAGAAAGAAAGACCAAGAAAAAAAGGTATGTGTGGCTTCAGGAGTGTTATATAGTTAATATGCAATACTAGTTAGAGGGATAGGAAGAGTGATTTTAAAATAGTTATAAGATTTGGATCTGAAGCTTCTTGTTTGCAATGTATGATTAAATGTCATTGTTTTCTGCTGTGTTCCTCTCTTTACCTGCCTGGAATTTGTTGCCTTGATGTCTCCTTTTTCTCCTACTTCCCAGAGTCCTACCTGGAAATAGTACATATTCCCTGGCTTAGAATAGGAAATGTTACTAAACTGGTAAGAAATTATTGACCAGCTGTATCTGGTCTAAAGTGGTTAAGATTATGAAACAGCCACTTTTCATGAGGGTTTAAATAAAACCAGTTGTTATACTACAGCTTTATTCTAATATTATTTGCTGTGGAGCATAATGTATTAGGTACACTTACCCTTGCTAAGGGAGGGAAGGTGGTATGGTAACGCTAGCCAGGCTTCAGTTTATACATGTATATAATATCCATCTGAAATTCACATGCTGTGAAACGGCAGCTCTTCATGCATGTAACCGCTGATTGTCTGATAGGTCTAAGAGTGTAACCAGTTCCAGTAGCAGTAGCAGTGACAGTTCGGCCAGTGATTCTTCATCAGAGAGTGAAGACACGTCTCCCTCGTCCTCGTCTGAGGACAGTGACACTGACGAAAGCTCCTCCAGCTCGTCGTCCTCAGCCTCTTCCACAAGCTCCTCCTCATCCTCCGATTCAGACTCAGATTCCAGCTCTTCCAGCAGTAGCAGCACCAGCACGGACAGCAGCTCTGAAGATGAGCCGCCGAAGAAGAAGAAAAAGAAATAGAACTGCTCTACCCTGTTGGACTGATGGACCGAAAACTTTATCTGATTCTCAAAAGGGAATTTAGAATGTGTTAAAGCCAAGTAGGTTAATTGGCCAAAATTTTGAGAGCTCAGAAGTGTCTAAATGTTTTACATTGTAAGAGTATAAAAAGTATTAATGGATTATAGATATAGATAGATATATATATATATACTTTTTTATTTTAAGGGTGAATCTTGTTTTTCTTTTTTATCTTAAAAATATATCTCTAGCAATTAAAAGCTGAAGTCCAGTAAATCAATTTTTGTAATAAAACTTATCTTCTGCCCTGGCTGGTGTGGCTCAGTTGGTTGGGCATCATCCTGTGCACCAAAAGGCTGCTGATTTGATGCCCAGTCGGGCACATGCCTGGGTTGCGGGCTTCCCCCGTGGGGGCGTGCATTGGCAGCCGACTGATGATCGGCTCTTACATTGATGTTTCCCTCCCTCCCTCCCTTCCTCTCTCCCTCTCTCTTTCTCTCTCTTCCTCTCTCCCCCTCTCCCTTCTTCTCTCTCTAAAAAAATCAATAAAAAAATCTTTTAAAAAAACTTATCTTTTCTCCCTGTGAAATCAATGCAATACTTTGTTACTTGTTAGTGTTATGTATGCCACATGTTTTCAGGCTAATGCATCAGAACATCTGGCAGTGAATTTCTAATGCTTTGGCTGTGTGCTATTACATCAGATTTAATACATTGTTATTATAAGCTTAGGAGTTTTCCTATTGTTAATAAATGTGCTCTATTTTTATGTTTATGTTCAGAAAGCTATTTTGACTTCTGTCCTAAATGAAAGTTCAAGGAACCTATTAATATATTTCTACTTTTTTGATGGAACAAGTTTCAAGTTACTGTGTTGTATCATTCATTTTCTTCTGATTCTTAGAGATACTTTTCTGAGGAACATCATTCTAGAGGAACTTAAAAAGGAACAAAAATTTTTAAACTACTTAGAAATCTTGGTGCCTTTTGATAAATTCAGTGTATCAGAAAACAGTCATTTAAAAGGCTAACAAGTAAAAGTGATACAAATATCTTTGTGGGTTAATATGCTATAAAAGGTACCATTCAAAGGGGAAAAGAAAGGAGGAAGGAAGGAAGGTAATCTTTACAGAAAATTAGGACAATGTCAGTTGCCTTTTATTAAGAACTTTTTAAGCTTTCTTAAGGATTGCCTTTTACCGTTTTTACGATTGCAGTAGTACAGTTTATGTGGTAACTGGTCATGTACAGTAGTCTACTGCATAAGTATGAAAGACTTGGATTAATCAGGTGTGTTGACTTAGCACATACACACTTGAAATCTAGCATGAAAGCTTAAAAATACTGCACAATATTTCTTAAAAGTTACTCTGCTGTGGTGAGATTGTTTACTTTAACATCACACGTTACTCTGTGATGCCTTTTAAACTTTTTGGAAAAATGCATCATTTGTAGAGAAATCTTGATTTGGGTTCAATATAGGTTTTTTAAACTATGAATGTTATCTTTTTTATATTTTTATGAGAAAGTGGGAGAAAATTACTTTGGAAGAAAATGGGCTTCTATTTAAATGTTGAAATATATGTATGTTGTGAGTTTAAGGAGACTGCAATTACCTGTAAGTTTTACAGAACCACCTGCTTTCAGTGATTGTAAATAAACTCTCAAAACATCCTTCCAAGGCTCCACACAGAATGTATCAATTGACAGGAAAATTTAATAAATTAGTAATTAAACACATTTTACCATGTGGTCTCTTTAAGGGCAATATCAGCAGATAACGAACTTGGGAAGAGAAAAAATGTGTACATAGATAACATCACTTGCAATGAAATAAAGCTCAAGAGTTTGTGCTCATAAGCTTACCCTTCTGTTATCTCTTTGCTGTTCTACTTAATGGTAGTCTTTAGTAAATGTATTATTTCTCAACCACAACCATTTCAAAAGGAGTGATTAGGTCATAGGTTTTCATCCCCAAACATTTTGTTAGTATGACTGTTACAATATTGAAATTTGGCCTGAGATCAAAATATGACATTAGGCCACAAGTTACTACTGGGTATAGAAGAAAGTGCACGGAAGGTGTACTTCATATTCATGGTTTTATGTATTCTTTTAATTTTTTATTTTGAACTGATTGTAGATTTATAGAAAAGTTGTAAAAGTATTACAATTTTTGCATATACTTTACCTAGCTTCCCCTAATGTACTATTTACATAACCATAGTACAATGGTCAGAACCAGGAAATTAATGTGATAAAACAAGCCAAAAACCTTATTTATATTTCACCAGTTTTTCCACTAATGTCCTTTTTCTATAATTGTTAATTAATAGCTCCTGAATCCTCAGAGGACAAACAGGTACTTAGTAATAGCTGTTAAATTTTGTATGAGTGTTTTCTCTTTTGTCTCCACATACTGATTCCTTTGAAGATAACTATCTTAGGGATGATTTTCCTTGCATAAATATCTAGTTGTGTTGGCTTACATGTTCTGCAATCCTAGATTTTCTTATGGATTTGCCTAGTGCAGAAAACCACCTTTTCAGAGTCTGCTCACAACTTCTTAAGGAATGGAATCATTTTATCAAGTGTACAGCACAATGTCCACATTAAAAAAAAAAAAAAAAATGGTATCCAGCAGTTCCATGTTTTTTTTAAGTTTTTTAAAAGTGTTTTTATTTATTTTAGAGAGAGAGGAAGGGAGAGGGAGAGAGAAAGAAACATTGATGTGAGAGAGAAAAATCTATAGGTTGACGCCCACACACACCACTACTGGGGATCAAACCCCCAACCTGTATGCGTGGCCTGACGGAATCAAACCAGCGTCCGTTTGGTGCACGGGATGATGCCCAACCGGGCCACACCAGCCCGGGCTCCAGGGGGCTTTTTGTTCTGTTTTTTTTAAATCCTCACTGGAGAATATTTTTCCCATTGCTTGTTAGAGAGAGTGGAAGGGAGAGATAGAGAGAAACATTGATGTGAGAGAGACACATTGATTGGTTGCCTCCTGCAGGCGCCCTGACCGGGGTGGGGATTGAGCCTGCAAGCCTCCTTTGGCTGGAGTAGAACCAGGGATCCCTCAGTCTGCAGGCCATGCTCTAACCACTGAGCAAACTGGCTAGGGCAGCGCTCCATGGTTTTTCACTCTTGATTTTGTCCAGAATTTTGGGGACAGTAAGATCTAGTGCTGGGGATTTATTGCATGTTGGTATCCTTAGTAGCTCTTAGCATACGGCAACTTCTATTGTGTCTTATTTGATTTTAAATTAATGCAATACTCATTAATTGTGGCCAGTTGAACACAGGTGTACACTACTGCTCACTCACAAAATGTCACAGTACAGGGATAAAAATAATGAAAATAAACCCACTAACACAGCATGAACAAGAGATGGGTACACAGGGACACAGCTTCTTACATAAACTTTCCGCCAGCCCTCCTGCGCCGTGGCTGAGTGTATGGGGCTGTGAAGTTTGGAACCTGTCCAGGGTTCTGTGGCGTCAACCGGCCTGCTTTTCGTTGGCATTTCCTCACTGCGGGCCTACGCTTTGGCCTTGTTTATTCCATCCACTTTCCAGATTCCAAAAGAACTGTCATTTCTCATCTCTTTCATTGCCTCTCTTTTTCTCTTCACCTTATGGGTTTATGTTTTCTGCTTCTGCCATTTGAGTTAGATGTCAGGAGGAATAGTAATAAAAGCATAGGCTCAATTTTCAAGTTTAACTGAAAGTCCTCCTTTCCTTTCCTCTGTGTGTCTGGTTCACCCAACTAGATCGTGAATTTATACCAAGGAAACCACTGTTGAGGTGTTATTTGTACATAGTACAGTACCTTTTAAACAGGAGTTCTACTGAAGTTTGTGGTTATTACCGCTTACCTTGACTAGCACGCACCAAAATCTCTAGGGGGTACACAGAAGACTTTTCAAGAACATTGGCAATTTCCAGGTCCTCAGCTTCCATCAGTACCCTCTCCTTAAATTCAACTGAGAACGCCTGCAGCCCAGTTATCATATTGGCTTTCCTTTCTCTATTGCTCTTTCACAAGGCCTTTCTCAATCTTTACTATGTACACATACACCCACCCCCCATCTTTCTATGGCACAATTTTTCCAGGGTGTAAAAATCTACAGGGCAGCATACAAAAATGCAATTTGAGATACTGCTTTGGGTCAACTTTTTTTCAATTAAGGCACTGTAATCCTAGGTCTGGCACCCTCTCTCTCTCTCATCTATATATTTTTTTCTGTTGAGAATACAGCCTGGTGTTAGACAATGGGTGTTTTGTCTATGTCTGAATTTACATATAGAGTGGGGGAAGGGAGGCAATAATGACAACCCCCCCCCAATATATCTTTATTGATTTCAGAGAGAGGAAGGGAGAAGGAAAGAGATAGAAACATCAGTGATGAGAGAGAGTCATTGATCAGCTGCCTCCTGCACACCCCCGACTGGGGAGCGAGCCTGAAACCCGGGCATGTGCCCTGACTGGGAATTGAACCTCCATCTCCCGGATCCTAGGTCGATGCTCAACCACTGAGCCATGCCAGCCGGGCTAGTAATGACAATTTTTAATGGAAGACTTTCCCTCTTTCATCTTTTGTCAAAAAAAGCATTGCTCCTGAGAAAGAGTCCAGTGATAGGAAAGCAAAAAAAAAGTGAAGATGAGAATGTTGAAGGGATGACACCTGATTTGTCCCAGCTAATGGCAAAACTCCACACCCTATGTAACTACCTTAGAACACTACTTAGAACACTTAGAATGTGTAAGAAGCATACTAAGACAGCACCCAGATCTTAGGTTCTGAACGCTATTCTCCAATTTAAAATCAGGGCAGGCCCCTTGGAGAAGTGGTTGGTTTCAAAGATGGAGCAGGGGAGGCAAGATGAATCTGGAACTCCTTGTTGTCCCAGAAAGTAAGAAAATACTAAAAAAGAAAAAAAGGAAAAAAAGAGGATTTGTTGAAAGAACAAAAGAGCCAACCTGAAGGAGCTCTCCTGGTAGCCAATGGTGGAACAATCTGAGCAACAGAATAAATAATGGTATTATTGGATGTTAATCCACTTAACAAAATAAACATCCATGAGTCCATACTATAAATAATTGATTAAATAAACATGGGGAGATGAGACAACTCTTCCATATAGAATTCCAATTAGTGTAGAAGAAGAAAATAGAAAATCACCATTGGCAAAACATCACAGTAATAACTGTCATACTCACGGATACAGAGAATATTTTGATGGTTGCTAGAGGGGAGGGGTGTTTGGGGGCTAGAGATTAAGAAGCACAAGTTGGTAGTTACAAAATAGTCATGGGGATATAAAGTACAGCACAGGGAATATAGTCAATAATACTGTAATAACTATGTATGGTGCCAGATGGGTACTAGATTTATCGAGGTGATCACGTCATAGGTTATATAAATGTCTAATTACTGGGTTGTGCACCTGAGACTAATATAATGTTGTATGTTAGCTGTAATTGAAAAATAAAAAATTATTTAAAAAAATTAACAACCCTTCTCCCCCAAATAACTGTCATGGACAACATCTACTAAAACTAGTGGGTGAGTGTGAGGAGAAACAATTCGCATAGTCTCGAAGTATCTCCCCCAAGATAGCTATTAACTTAAAGGGAAAGACAGAACTTTACAATGAAGTCTGACAGAAACCACCATAACCAAGTGATCAAGGTCAACATCACCAATATATATGACACATTGACATTAGGAATCTTGTGATATGATGGACTGAGGACACAACTCCGTTTCTGTGATATTCTTACAAAAAGCATAACTTCAATTAGATCATGAGAAAACGACAAACCCAAACTGAGGAACATTAGACAAAATAACTGATAAATGCTCTTCAAAAGTGATAAGGGCCTGAAAGACAAAGACTTGAGGACATGCTGCAAACAAGTGGCTAGAGACTTAGTCTTATTTTTTAATTTTTTAATGTAAGTTTTGTTTTTCAATTAGATTTTACATTCAATATTATTTTATATCAGTTTTAGGTGTACAGCATAGTAGTTAGCCAATAATATACTTTATATAGAGTTTCCCCCTGATATTTCTAATAACCACCTGGTACATACATAGTTATATACAATATTATTGACTATATTCTCTATGCTGTACTTTACAACTTAAAAGAGAGAGAGAGAGAAAGAGAGAGAGAGCAATGACTTGAAGAGTTTTCAAGAGTTCGCCTTTCAATGGATGTGGATTTGGCGGAGAAAGAGTTGTTGAGCATGGCTGGAAGCCTGTTTGTATGGGAGACTGGTAGCCGATGAGGCTGCAAAGGCCTTGGGAAGGGGGTTGCTGTATTATCAAGGGTGTTATATATCAGGCTAAGGAATTTGTATTTTATCTGGAAGATGACAGAAGAGCCTCACATTCCAGAATATTTAAAATCTTTTTAAGAATGTCAAGATTGGAAGCAGGTAAACCAATTTAAGTTACTTGAACTGTAAGAAGCAGCCAAGCTCCATGGCTCTACTAAGAATAAAATTATTTGTGACCCAAATTCTACAGCCTCAGTTTGTCTGAGATGGTATAGCTTTTTAACCTTTCCTTTGGGCCTGGTAATATTTCTGCAATTCAGAAGGAAATCAAAATAATAGTACCGGGTTCTTCAGAAAAAATTAAAAAAGAGAAAAGAATAGCAGT